CCCACATATATCCAGAAACTGTAGTTACTGCCAAGGCTGCAAAGCACAAGGGCCAAATGCACCAAGAAAGTTATAAGTTAAAGGTACTGGTTCTCACGTAGGTGTATTTTTGTCCTTTGGGTGGCATTTGGCAATGTCTAAAGATATTTTTGGCTGTAACAAGTAGAGAAGGGCATGGTTCTGATATAATTGGTAGAGATCATGGATGATGATAAACATCCTACAACATACAGGAAGCCCCCAAGAAAAAAAGGTATCCAGTGCAAAATGCCAACGGGCTGAGAAATCCTGGGTTAGGAAAGCTTTGGAGTTACCATGTCTGTCCCCTTGGTTTAGAGATTAGGAAATTCAGGGCAGATAAAATATAAACTTGATCCAGGTAGCAAAATTAGCTATTAGAAGGGCTAACCCAGGTACGATGGCCCCATCATCTACTCAAGTATTTTCTCTGGAAGGGTGAAAAGAGAAAAAGAAAACTAGCTCCCAGGGTGGCCCCTGCCCAGGTTTGTGGCAGGAAGCTGAAGAAAAAGAATGGGATATGGGATGATGCCTTCAAAGGTACAGGTTCCACACCCACTAGTGAAATATGTCTCAGTGACACTGCTGGGCTTGCTGGGATTAGCAACTCCCTAATGGTTACTAATGATTACTAAAAAGAGGAGTTGGAAGAACGAGAAGCACAGAGGGGGGAAGCTGAGAAATCTCCACCCCACACACCTCAGCTTACTCTCTGACACAAATTCCTACTGCATTTTAATTTTTTGAATGATTTGCAGAGCAACAATTCATTTTTTTCCTTCAGAAAATGGCTTCCAGGACACCACTATGAGATGCAACCAGGTATTGTACATCACTAGCTTGTCTCAGGGAGTAAGGCACCTCTGATTTAGAACTGTACCATGAGTCATACAAGGAGGGAGCTGGACTGTGGTCATGATCCCGACTCAAAAATGCAGAACTGAAGTCAGAAAGCTGCTTCACAGCAACTTCCTTGTGGTCTTGCTTCAGAATTATTCTAGTGTCCCAGCAGATGTAACAGTAGTACCTTCCACAATGGATCAAGAAGATGGAAATACTGTCATGGGCCTCTATCTCATGATCTCCAGCTGGCTATTTCTCTTTTTTCATTTTATTTTAAAGATTAAAAAAATTAACAAAACAACAATGATGACAAAATCAAAACAACACAAAAACAATACATGATCTCAAAACAAAAGGATAGGAATTAACAATGGTTACCAAATTACATACTGTTATCTTCAACGAAGTTGCTCAATCCACCAGATGTGAGAATGTAAGACTGATCAATCAAAGTCAGTAACAAATAATCAAAAAAAAAAAAATTGGAAATGACGCAGATGTTAATCTCTTCATTCAACCCAACCAAATATCCTTGTCATCCACGGAGATCCTTTTACAACAACCACCTTGAGCCTTGCAGGCACTGATGCATTTGAAGGTCCTTTACTAAATGGCCCCCAAAAATGTCAAGGTCAGGGATCATTCTGAAGACATTTTTTGAAGTGTATACTCTCAAAATCCCTCATATGGCTCTACCATGTACCAATTGGCTTTCTAAAGCACACCCAGAAGTGAGACCTATATCTTAAAATCAATTTAGATTCTTATTTTTAAAGCACTCCACCTATTTTCTAGACTATACACACAAAAGAATACAAAAACATCACCTTACTAGCCCCAGCAAAAATGGTAAATGTCAAGTAGAAATGTAAATCCTTCTATATTTTTTCAATATATGTATGTAAATGCATCTATGCCTACTGCTATATAGCATGCAGAAATATATTTTAAATTTAGCCTCTCTGTCTACAGAATTTCATCACCTGCTGCTGTATCAAACTATGTATCACAAGTTTCTTTCTCTGAAACTCAATTCTTTTATATATAATCGTACAAGGTTCCTTCATATTGACTCTCTATAATTTACATTTTATACTTATGTGATATTTGCTCCTTTTGATACTGCAACTAGACCTTGGAGTAATCGATGTCTCCCTACTTGAATTCCTTAAAGAGATAACATGCACCATTTTTATGACTTTTGAGATAGACTTTCAAATTAGCAGGTTGCTATTTGAAAATATTGAGGACCCCTGTTTCAGACACACAGGTGTACAAACACCCACATTAGAAAAGTAAGTGGAACAACTCTTTGCCAAGAGTCTGGAAAATTAAAATCTAGTAATTCTAGTTCTAAATCCACACAACTCACGCATTAGTTTTGTGCCTGCAATTCAGCAAGTGACTACTAGTAAGCACTCTTTGGCTTTAGAGGATGAAGGCAAGATTTAAATGAGTCACAGGACTATCCAGTAAGGTTAACCTAGAAACAGTGTGTATTGTCCCATTGCGGTAAATTCTGGTTCACAACTCTGTTTCCATCAGATTTGAGCTCCTTAAGGGAAGCAGCAGCACATTTTAAATCTCAGAAAGCCTAAATATAAGCGAAATGTCTGTCACAGAATACATTTGTGGGTTGGTAAATTGCTGTCAATGTTTAAACAGAAGTCTCAATAAAAGTGATGCATCAGGAGCACTGCTAAGGTCCCAGTGAGGTCTTGCAACATGAAAGAGGAGGCATCATCTCCAAGATGTACCCTAGCATCAGCTGAGAAGTAAGTGCTCTTTCCCATTCTCTTTCCATTCCAGAGGAATATATTTAGATAAAGATATTTCTTAAAAGAAAATAATGTGTTTTTAAAAAGGAAAGAGCAAGAAAATATAAAGAGAATAGTTACTGGTATCTTAAGGTAACCAGCCAGAGGATGACATTTCCTTCCTGCTTTCCAGTGCGTATTTCTGGGAACGAATTAGGCTACAAGTGGAAATAAAAGTGTATATCATTCCAGGGCCGAGAAAACAGACGGTGAGAAGCAAGTTGGTTCATTTCAAACACAGAGGGTCTGACTTTGAACTGCTTAATGGTGAACAAACCAACCTTCTCTGCAATGTCTGGCTAGGGCTTCTGTCTATACTGAGTGCCAAGGACATTTAATGTGTGATATTTGATTTGCTGGGTGCAACGCTAAGATGGGGCCTGCAAAATGCATCTGTGCTCTCATAGCTTTTCAAATGGAAGCAAGGTTATTAATATCTATGAAGGCTTTAATATCACAGATCAGGTACAGATAGTGCAAGAACCCATCCAGTCAGGGGGCTCAATCTCACAGGCTCTCAAGCAGTGGGAAGATAGTGGATTTGGGTCAGAACCCAAATTATTTAAGTGGATGAAGTGAACCTTATATAAGGAAAGTGACTCATCTAAGATCACAGTTAGTTAGAAACCCTGCCAAAATAAGCAAGGAACAAAACAGAAGGTCTGTTAACTTTCAGGCTCGTGTTCTCTCCCTTTCTCCATACTGTTTCGGACTTTTGCTCCTCATACATGTCCATTCATGGGAGCATGAAAATTAGTGGTAAATGAAAGCCTTCTTGTCTGACCAAGCATCATTCTCCATAGGCTAAGCGATGGGCTACCTGGAGCCTTGAAAGAACTAATGATATCTGAAATCTATGAACATTATTCCAAACGGTGTCACATTAGGTTGGCAAAGAACACATTTTAGAGCAAGGAGATGAGGAATTGCAACTCTTGGTAAGATTATGATCAAAGATAGCTCCAAATTGTCTCCTCTTACTCAGGACTGTGCCAGGAACTTCTTCAGGCTTCCACATCTGTTACAAGCCCAACTTCAACAGACTGTTGTCTCAGGCAGGGTCCAAATATAATAACGGAAAGCACCCCAAGTGTTTAAACAGAGTGAACTGAACACTAGAATCTGGACACAGCAGTGCTGAAAGAGCTCAGAGTCCAAATCAGTGAGATACTATAGAGTTCTCCCCCAGTGGGAAACTGTGACCTTTCTTAGATTTCTAGGGCAAAGGATGAGACGGCATTTCTGAGTCAAGGAGAGAGAACCATGTATGGAAGCCAAAACCACAGAAAATGACTTTTGTAAAAGAAGGGGAGGCAGGGGATAGAAGAAAGGAAGGAGGAAAGGAAGAAAGAGCAAGAGAGAGAGATCTCTGACTTTCTCTGAAGCTGAGGAGCAAAGATAAAAGGAAAGGCAGAGAGTGATGCTAAGTACTAACACATCAAACCCAAACCCTCAATTGTGTTATGGCCTCTGTTTCTCCCTTGAATGCTCCGACTACATGATCTAATACATGCATCTGAAGTTGTCATCCCTTGCTTTGAAATCTTCTGTGACTTCCATTGTACTTTGGGAAATGCACCCTTATCTCTGCCCATCAGACAAGGTTCATCTTCATCTGCATGAATTTAAGCAAATCAAAGTTGTCTTCAAAAATCTACACTCTGAAAACACCAACCTCCTGTCCTCAGGAAAGTGGTGCCATGCACAGGGCTACCCCAGGGTAACCCACAGGGGCCACTCCAGCTGGAAAACAGTGAGGCTCAAAGAAGGCCTCAAGCCAGGGGCCCGCAGGTTGGGAGGGGTCATGTAAGAAAATGGAGTCTCAGGAAGAGAAAATTTAGCATAGCTGCATGGGAACAGATCCACATTCCATGTAGAGCAGGGAGCCAACATGAGGATGACACTGGAAATGCTCACCCCAAGGTAGAGAAGGGCTGGAGGGGACAGCATGAAAGCAAGAGGCCCGCTGTGGTGCTCGTCCCTGTCCCTGCCCAGCCCCAAAGGAGCTAAGCTCCTGCCTGCATCATTACTGTACCTTATGCTTTTCAGAAAACTCAACAAACTCATTCTTTCACAGGAAGAAGGGCCTAACGAAGGGTGTGGGGAGTTGGTCTGCAAAGTTCAATTTCTGTCGCAGGATCTTAAGGCAAAAAGGGGAGAAGGACAGGGAGTGCGGAGAAGGACTGGAGGAGCTGGCAGCTGTTTCCTGAAAACTCATGCGGCACCAGGCCTTGCAGGAACAGAATCTCATTCAGTCCCTGCAGCAGCCTTCAGAAGTGGAGACGAGGGGAGGGTGGGGCAAAAAGCAGCAGGGATCAGGAATCGCATCTCTCGTGCTTGATTCATTTGACAAATAATTAGCGAGGGAGTTTGGGTGCGAGGCATGGAGCCAGCGTTGGGGACCCAGCGTGGACGTGACATCATTTCTGTTCTCAAGGTCCCCGTGTTGCAAGCACCTGCATTAATGAGTCCCGCAAGCCTTTTCCAGCACATTCGCCTCTGTTCGCAGCTCATCCAAGTCACCCTCAGGAACAGGGAGCTTTAGTCTCTCACAGGATTTACCAACTATCCTTAAATACACAGCTGTTGCCTCTTGTCCATTTTCCTTAGGATCGGAGACTCTGAATGCCCCTTTACAGTTGATGCAGAAATTTAATGTAGTTAATTTCTTTCCCTAAAAACAAACAAAACAAAACAAGACAGAGAAACTTACAGTATTATTCAACCAACAATGTGAATCAACACAATCTTAAGTCAGAAAAAGTACGGGAATTGTATATAATCAAGACATGAATACCTCCCATCTGGGAGGCACTATATACACTATTTGGGGGGAGGTAATGGAGGATAAAATTTACATTCCTCCTCTCTGATGAGGCCCTGACGTACAACTGTTTCATAACTATCATCTTTGCCACATGCGCACTGTCCCATGTGAGTCAATTAATGTCCACATGAAAACAAGCAGAAAAGGAAAATCTTCTGGTTCCTTAATATAAAAACGCAGCAGTACTTTCACAGTCTCAAAGGAGGAAAGGTGCTGCTAAGGCCATGCTGAGCTTCTGACCCACGGCTCCATCAAGACAGGGACACAGATGTACATGACAAAAAGGATCAACAAGCACCTTCACAAAGTACCTTGTTTTTTTCCTTTGTTAAGCCACAATCATGCCTGAAAACATTCCATCCTCTTTGTTTGTGGAACCGCAACTAGATTCCATGTAACTTGCACAAATTCCTCAAACCTCCCAGGGCCTGAAGATTGAAAACAATATGTAGGTTTTAAAAAGGATGTGGAAGGAGTTCCAATTCCTCGCCAAAGCAGATTGAAATTAAGTGCATCAGAAGGAAATTTAGATGAGCTGCATCTTCTGTTCTGAGAGCATACCTGTGAGTCTGGGTACGTGTGCAGAGAGGAGGCGGCTTCAGAAACATGGTAGGTTCCTCGGGAAGTGGGGTCCCAGGGCCAGAGAGCAGAGCGACCCCAGGCGGGCAAGTTCCTGCCCAGCCTCCCTCACTCGTCTTCTAAATGAGACAGGAGAAAATGTGATTCCTAAACAAACTAACAAAAAATTCTTCCCAGCTCCAGGGGTTTCCAGGGGATGTTTGTTTTGATGAGATCTCGGGCCTGATTTCCAAGAATCCAGAGGTGCCAACTGTTTGTTAAAGCTCCTAAACCAGCGTGATCTCTGGCCCTTAGGAGATTTATCTTTTATTTATACAGAGTATTTTTAAAAGCCTGTTATTGAGACAAGAAGTGACTGGGAGGCTTCATGTGAGAAGCAAAACAACATCTTTAGAGTCTACATTTTTTACAAAATTATAAACCACAGAAGCTGAACTGAGAGGTAGTAGGTTTTATTTACTCACTGAAACCCAAATTTAACTCAGTGTTATTAGACAAAGCTGAACACAAGACATTGTTGTCAAGGGACCATAGTTTGGAGTGGAAAACTACATTGCAAAATACAAATTTCAGCTTGAGCGGCATTGGGTGGGGCAAAGGAGTCAGGACACAGGAGACAGAAGTGACTAATGCCTGCTGCGATCCTGAAGGCTTTCTGGAGGAGGCGGCCCAGGTTGAGTGTGGAACAAACCCATCCTCTTGGTCAGCCTCCTCACTAACGTCTCAGCCTACTGATGCCCTGCAAAATGCTGTGGAATGCAATGGCATAAAAAAATAAACATTTGTTACATCATTTTGTTCTCACTTAGGGACTCTCAAAAGTTATCTTCAAGACTGTGCCTGGGTGACAGTTCTCTGAGCAAGAGTGGTGCTGGACGATCTGCTTCCGAGGCAGCTGACCACATGCTGTCAAGTTGGTGCTGCAGGCTGGAGAGACTAGACTCCTCACCATGGGGACAATTTAGCATCTGGCCACTCCACAAGCAGTAGTTCAACTAATAGCTAAGTAGAAAATTCAGAGTGCTTCAGACTTAGTCTCTTCAAAAGCCACTATCCATTGTATCCATGGTGTGCCCAGAACATCCCACGCAGTGCTGGAAGGAACTTAACAAGGATGGAAGATGGGAGAGAGACACTGGGAGCCATCTTGGAGGCTGGCTACTACAAGTAATGACAGCACCTAAGACAGAAGCATTTCCAACTGGGTGTCGTGGCCCATTCCTCTAAGCTCAGCACTCCTGGAGGCTGAGGCAGGAGTATCACACTTCTAAGTCCCACTTGGACAATTGGCAAAGGCCCTTGGTTCAATCTGTAGTAATACACACACACACACACGCACACACACACACATACACATACACACACATACACACACACACACCAGTCTGTTGTTAGTATATTTATTCTTTTGTGATTGGAGGTAAGAATAATGGGGCAGTTTAGTTCAGCAGTTAGTGAACACCAGATTTTAGAATTTTGTGAGCCTTAGTTCACATCTGAGCTCCACCACTCACTGGCTGTCTGGCTGCTCTGCCAGTTGGGAGATGATATGAACTAAAACCCCCACAGTGGATGGGAGGATGGAAGCCCCATGTTGAAATGTATCCCCAGGTTCTCTGGGTCACCTTCCCATGGGCTTGTGTATGAGAAAGAAGTATGCTTCTACGATGTTTGACCCCTTATATTTTACAGTTTCTTTGTTGGAAGCCCTTTACCTGTATCCTAATATATTAGTTGGTAGAAAAAGTTTAGGTCAGGTGTGGTGGTACACTAATTACAGCACTCTGGCATGCTGAGATGGGAAGGTGGAAAATTGCAGCACAGCCTGGGCAATTTAGTGAGACCTTGTCTTAAAATTTTATAAGGGGATAGAGAAGGAACTAGACTTTAGCTCAGAGCAGAAGCCCTGGGTTCTACCCCAGTACTTCAATTTAAAAAAAACAGTTTAACTTCTGAATCTGATTTTTTTCATCTGTAAAGTAGAGACAGAAATACCAGCAACTTCACAGAGTTCTTGTGAAGAGAAATAGAATAATGCATGAAAGCATTTGTCCCGCATCTGGCCCGGAGTTCACACACTTGTCATCGTCACTGTTGCCCTGCTCTGAATTTATGATCAGTGTCAGCACACTGGAGGAAACAGAAACATTCTGTGAATTTGACCAATGTGTGTAGCTGTCCACCGACAGTGTTGCCTTAGAGAGTTTGAAACAATTTCCTTTGGCGACCCCTTTAATAGGAACTTCGGGGATTTAAATAAACACAGACGTGGTTTCATAGGGAAATTATTCTGTAGACTGCATTTGGGCCAAGATCTGCTATGGACATCCTGCCTTTTCTAGTATTCAGTTTCCAATTCTAGAAAATTAAAAAGAAAAAAGAAGAAAGAAGGGAAGGAGGAAGGGAAGGAAAGAAAGGCAAGATCAACATTTCTCTATTCCCAAGGATTCCAGAAACCAACCACAATAATTCCACTATTACCGTACTGCATATTTGGCTTGGCATAACATTTTACTGAGAAAGTATTTTAGTGCTTCAAACAAGTTTGCAAACCACGATGTGAACAGGATGATCTACAAGGCACCGTCTGGCCATATGAATCTCTCCCAACTGACTGCAGACACTGAGCCTGCACATCAAAAGTCCCCCTACTCCTTACACTCTCCAGGGTCTGCTATTAGTCCCAAATGAATTAATAAAGATGGTTCATATTCCACAGGGTCGCTGAGAACTCCCTCCACCGAGCTGAGGCTGTGCTTCTCAGCTAGTCTGTGCCATGCCATCTAGTGAACAAATCCAGCAATGAAGCATCCTCCAGCTCATGCATGTTCCCTGATGGGTGAAAAATTCTTCCAGATGCAATGGCAATTTAACAACAACAAAAAAAAAACTCAAAATTAAGAAATCCTGAAATGCCATCTCTAACCAATGCCCTGGGCTGAAGTAGCTGAAATAATCAAAACTGTCATTTTAGTTCTTCTCTCTTAAAATTACTACTTTTAATTTCCCCACTGAAGTGTTTCTGGCCAACCCATCAAATTTTCCATCAGAATTACCCACAGAACAAACTTGTATGCATTGGCATATAAAAATGGGCTGGCAAGATAAGCCATATCAAAATGGAAAGTAGAAATAAACAGACCCCCAGTCACCCTAGGAAAACAGTAGGTGGAATAGCAGAGCACCCAAAACGCCATGCTCATGTTGACAGAATCCCCGGCTTCCCTGTTCACGGGTAACATCTCATCCAGAGACGGAAGCAAATGCCAGTTCTCCTGACTGGAGATTTTCCTTAGAGGACCAGGGTCTGGTGCCAACACTTGTGTGTCCCCTGGATTCTCTTCGTCAGCCACAATCTGGCTTATGAATGAATACCCAGGACATCCTGGGATCCATAGGAAGTCCCTCAGAGCTCAGTGACAAAAAGGAAGGATGACAGCAAAAATAGAGTTAGTGCTGTACTTCATTTCAGCAGCAAAGCTCAAGAAACTTAGCTTTTACTTAGCACAACCTCCATCTCTTATGCCCACAGACATCTGAACCTCAGGCATGGTAATCGACAGAGCATGATCACCATTCTTGTCTATGGAGAGCTGCTTCCTGAATTCAGATCATTTGCTACCATGTTTGGAAATTCATGTTTAAAAAAGAGCACATGCCTTTTCCTTCACCGCCCTGATTAGCATTTCATACCAGAAAAAAAAAGAAAGAAAAAACAACCTCAGGGCCGAATTTTCTCCTTTTGCCTCTACCCAACTCAGCTCCACTTGGTTCTCATTTATTTCACTGTGTACTTTGGAATTGGAGAAGCCTCTGAGTTCCCTGTTAAGTCCCACCACCTGGGAGAGGTTATTTCAAAGGAAGCAGACGTGGGCTCTTCTCCTGCCCTGACTCTTTCTCCACAATGTCAAAACAGATTGTTGACAAGGTGGTCTTTGTCTGGAGGGGGAAACAGAGAGAGAGAGAGACAGAGAGACAGAGGGAAAGGGAGGGAGAGGGAGAAGGAAGGAGAGAGGGAGAGAAAGAGAGAGAGGGACACAGAGGGAGAGGGAGGGAGAGGGAGAGACAGAGAGGGAGGGAGGGATAGAGAGAGGGAGGGATGGGGGGAGAAGGCACGCCTTGCACCCTTCCTACAGGGATGAGGGACAGAGCAGAGGGCTTGGCAGGAGCAGCTACCTTCAGCCAGGAACTGCAAACCCCAGCTTCAGGCAGCATGCCAGTCCCTGGAGCAGCCTCCTCTGCATCACTCTGGGGGTGAATCTAATCAAGACAGGATGTATGACTTCAAAACCGCTGGAAAGCATCACAGGTCAAAAGTTTAAATCAAGTTAAGCCCCGTTGGAATGTGCAAGGCCTGGAGTTTCTAATCTCTGCTTCTTCCTCTCATCTGCTCAGGGCTCCTTGTGGGATGAAATGTCTTGGTCGGTCAAGGCTGGCCTTGACGCACGAGTCCGTGAAGATGCAGCTGGGACACCAGAGCTGAAGAGGCTACTAGGAAGGGTATCTCATACAGAAGGAGCCAATGCCATGTGAAAGTGCACAAAAGGACATGCAGAGACAGAGAATATTAATGCCGAGACGATCATTCTGAATCATTCAAACTCCTTTGCTACAAATGTGGCAAACAGGTCCAAAGAGGTTAACATCTGGCTCACAGTCACACAGCACTTGTTGGCTGACCCACTGGAAGGACAAACAGATTTAAGTTGTGCCAGGTTTCTATCCAAAACCCAGTGGCTTGTGTTTGTCCTTAGGATGAAATGAAATTTCTGTATCTATTAGGCCTTGGGTGATGCAGCTTCTGCCCAGTTCTCTGTTCACTGGGACCCCCATCCCACCTTTGCTGCCTCCCCTCCTGGCACATTGGTCATTTTTTTGTTCCAAATATTATGAAGTCCTCATCCATTCCAAATTCGGGGACTTGCTCTCCCTCCTTTGTTAGAAGGTATGTTTTCTGGCTGTTCATCTCTCAAGTGGTAGGAAATTCTTCCTCAGGATATCTGGAAGGCGTCCGTAGCCCCACCCCCCTAGGTGCGAATCATCCTTTTGCTGTCGTCCCACTCAGGAGAGTACATATACTTGCTGTGGAAACCTTAGGTTCCCTGTCTTCCTACAAGTG